TAATTCAAGGCCTTCCTAGAGGCACTCACCCCTGGGCTACGCCCCGAAGTTTTTCTGTGGTGTTGTTGCGGGTTTGTTCTAAGTGTGGCGACCGGGCAAGATTCTAAGTCTTATGCTCGACCGCTCCTGGCTAAAGCGGCCACAAAATATTGTACACCCGTGCTGTTAGTCTCAGATTGTGGGTATGTAGCACCCCCAATCGTGGCGTAATGGATATTGGGGTGGCGCCCACCCCACGGGCTACAGGGGCAATCGTCTCTGTTGTCCGCGCAGGTCTGGTCTGTCTGTGCGGGTCGGATCGGCGGCTGTGGTTCCAGCTCTTGCTTCAGGCCGACCCTACCGACATTCCTGCTGTGCTTCTTCTCCTGGCTGACTCACTACCCAGTCTTCCAAGCAAACCTCTTGGTAGAAGGGTTCCATGTCTTGAAAACACTGCCACACCCCCAGCATTTCCCAGTCGTGACGCAATGGATACTGTGATCAGCACCCACCTCTTTGGGCTACAGAGGCAATCTTCACAGTTGTCCGCTGTAGTCTAGGTCGCAAGGATATACGGCTTTCACCCGTACGGCCCGGGTTCGGGTCACGGCAGTGGATGCGGGCGGAACATAGAGACCGTTTTGTCCGATGAGTTGGGCAGGTGAGCAATCGGTTCCGGCAGGGATCGAACTCGCGACTTTGTTGTGAACAGCCACACTCTCTGCCGACTGAGCTACGAGACCGTGCTGCCTCGCTCTTCATCTTTCAGTAAAGATGAACGCAGTGGTGCGGTTGGAACAAGGGCAGGAGCGGGGCATTCTAATCGGTTGTTGGTGTCTGTGTGGGTTGGATCGGCGGTTGTATGATATTCCGTCAGTTTGGTCCGCCAGCTGCCGATCCGACCCGCACAGACAGAGGGATAGCACCAACAACCGACCAGAACTGGAATGCGGTGGTTCGAGCCCCACTCCTGCCAAAAATTCCCGAGCGTGCCATTGCGCTCTGCCCACCAAGCCTTCCTGATTCCGGACCCGTTAACCGCACAAAAGCTCTCGAAGAGCCCGCCCACACGCACATATTTCTCCTTGAGGCTTACGAAGCCAGCTTAGCCCTTACGGCCGTAGCAATGAAGAAATTTTCAAGGGTTCCTTCCACAACGGCGTCGAGGTGTGGTGGACAGCACTGGAAACTCTGAATCTCCCAATCAGGGTTCG